ATGTTTACTGATGGGTCCTGGTACAAAAAATGTTGAGAACCACTGAGTTAAACCATACACTTCCTTATTGCATACCCTCTCCTCTTCCAGATTTACCAGCTGCCCACATACCCCTACCAGCATACTGTAACCTCTTAAATGCCAATTATTAGTATAATGAAAATTAACCAGCATACTGTAACCTCTTAAATGCCAATTATTAGTATAATGAAAATTAAACCCGCCGTTACACACATTCTCCTGCATATCCCCTCAGAGATGTCTTGGTTACCCTAGTGGTATGCATACCACAGTTTGGGAACCCCTGGGTTAAGCAGTCTCTCTGTCCCCAGTCCAGCCAACATGTGCACCCCTAAGTTAGCTCTTCTGTCTCCAGTCTTTCAACTCTGAAAGTCCCAAAGCTTCAGACTGCCAGCCTCTCCTACGCAGACATCTACTTGTTCCCCCTGCTTTGTCTGTTGTCATGCTTATCTCATTCAGCTTCCCTAAAGCCTCCTGGGGGTCACCAGCAGTCCAGTTTTTGTTGACATGTCAACAAATCTATTCAAGTCTCGTTACTGGAGGTCCATCTGGTTCCACCCACATATAGGCAGATCTCTTGCTTCATTGTCCCCTTCTTTGACACATTTTGTCCCCCTGTACTAGCTTTATGTGTAATTTGCAGCACGGGACACTGATAACAGCGTGAACACATTTAAAACATAAATATTACAAATATTTGAGCCATAGTCTTTCAAAAGTAGGCTGGAAAATGTACTACTCCGGATGATCAGTCAATAAGACATCACCCAAAGGTCATTTGTCCTGTGACTGCTTCCCCACTAGATTCACTAGATTCTACAGCCAGGTAAACAATTTGACCAGGAAAATGCAAACAAGAATCACTAGACATTTTCCCTCGATTTATTTTCTGGCAGATGATATTTGAGAGGGGCTCATTAAATTAGATTTTTGTTTCTTTTCTAGACAAAGGGGTCATATTTTCTTCATACAGCTAGAAGGCAGAGAGAATCAGCAAAAGCTGAACAGCAGGATAAACCAGTCCTGCAAATAGTTTTGGTGTACTGTTTTTCTTCCAGCCCAACTTTACTTAAAGCAACCAAAACAATTACAAAATAGAAGATATTAAAACGGTCTCTGTATTTTGGGATGCTCAAACAGGACTAGTTGGGGAAAAGGTGCAAAAAGGCTTATTTGCACCCTCCATTAAGATCCCAAATGCTTGTAGAGCATCAATACAATCTATGACTTGAGCAGTTTAGATATAGACAAAAGGGAAGCATTCATTGTGGAAATTTCAAGATGTCACTTGGCAACACAGTCCTAGACCTGTCTTTCTTCTGTTCTTTGGAGATTTGTCTGCTATCTCCATCAGTCTTTTCCACAGCCACTCTGTTTCTCTTTTTTTCTTAATTGGGTCTTTTTCCACTCAGAAAAACAGAATTGGACATCCATGCTTTTATTCCGTTTCTTTCAGAATGTAACTTCCATCCATTAACTCCCAGTCAGCCCATCCAGAATGTTAACATCAGTCAGCACCAAGGTTTGCAGAGCATTAATATCTAAGGAGAGAAGCTGCTAGATATTTTTCATCTAGTCTAGCCTAAAGTGCCATCTTTGGTCAGATGACTATGTAGCCTGGGGGCAATGCTGGTTTTTTGCACAAACCATCTGTGGCCCCGACCATGTGCACTTAAATTTCTTGTTCTTTGCAGGTCTATATCCCTATCACAAAATTGCGGGGAGGAATTAAATTTGCCCCTGAAAGGGATGCATAAATCGAATTCGGAAACATAGCCTTCAAACTCATGCTTCTTGCTTTGTTGCTGGTAAAACAGTTGGAAGAGAGATGTAAATGTGTGTTGGAAACTCCTCTGCTTATATATAACCCTTTTAATAACAAATGCAGTACCAGAATAACCAACTCATCACATTACAGACCAGCTGTTTAGAATTTTTCCTTTTATCTGGAATGCATAGCGAGGCTGAATTCTAGGGAAATCCTTCTTGTTTCCCTCACCATCCTTCCTGAAATCACTCTTCTGACTTCATTTTTCCACAGCATATTGCAGAAATCCTGCATGTGTATTTTTATTCCTCCTTTTAAAATATAAATTTAGATCCATCCTCAATTTTAAAGGAAATGTGAATCTAAAATAATTTTGTTTTTAGTTTTGTTTTTTTGTCTGTTATGTAGTTTTCCTTTGAAGGGCTGACTTGAATCTCAGTTGTTAATCTCTTTAATCTCTGAGAGAAATAACAATGGTTTAAAAGGTGGGGCATTGACTGTCTTTCTTGTACAAATTCAGATCTTCAGTCAAGGAATTTTCTTTAGACTGTTACATTTTAACATGACAGTGTTTTCTTCATTTATGGTCACTAATATAATTAAATAAGGCTTGTCAGTGAAGGTAGCTATAATAAATACAGCAGATATCACTGTTTAGATTGTCCATTTGCTAAATCAGCAGTACTCTGGACAGAATCCAGCAAGCTTTACCAGGTTTGGAAAACTTGTTTTTTTATAGTTTTAATCTGAAGTCTTGTTACCTAGTTACCAGCTAGCCAGATGCTACAAATAGAATACAAAATTTGGTAGAGCAGTCTCTGGCAGATAATGACCCAGATGTTTAATGATGCAGCTTTTTCTTGACACCTTTTTAAAAATATATACTTTCATTATCTTTAAATACTGCTTATATATCATCTCTATGAAGCATGGGTATCATATAAAATCATAACTAAAATATCTTAAATTGTAAGTGAGATTATCTAAATACTCTTAGCAAAATATATTCTCACAAAGCCATTTATATTCATGCTCTTTTTAAATGTTAACACATAAATTCTCTACTAAAGGGATCCCCTAACATTTGTTAGAATAAGACAAGAAAAATATTACGACAGCAGGCAAGTAAAAATGGTCATTCAGATCCTACTGAAGCCATGGAAAAAATAAAAATAGGTGTTTGTTCCTGGATTAAATTCAATCCAGGAACAAACAATTAGAAGCTGTCCAGAGCTATGTTTTCATGTTTCTTTTGTAAGGTATTTTAAACAGTTAATGAATGTAACTTTTCTTTAAGTTGTGCTTTTATTTGATCCTTGACTTACTTTCTTTGGTAGCATTTAAATATAGCTAGTCCTATTAGGAACAATAATAACAGTAATAAAATTTCACTGAATTGTTGTTCTTCATTTCAGTTTTGTCCTTCCCTACAAAATTTGTGAACCAGATTTGTAGCTTGCAACAATTCAACTATAAGAGAGGTACCCTTGGTATGATAAGTGAACCAGTGCTAGGGACTGAAGAGATATGACAAGTATTCTTATCATGATGTACAGGAGAATGTAATTGTGTGTGATGCCTCCACTAATATGTTTGCTTTCCTTTTCCCAGGCCCAAGACTCAGGTTCAAATGTAACTCCCCTTTAAGTGGGTAAGCAGCCTAACTATTCAGTGGCATTTCTAGATAAAATTGATAAACAGCAGTAGGGGCAGAATTATACAACTGTAGGCTGGGAAGGGGTCTTAAGATGTCATCTAATTCAGCCCCCTGCTTAAACTATCCTAACCCAGAACTCCATGAGTCTCAGAATCTTGTTCCCTTGGCTTCCTTTCCTTCTGGCCCTACTTTATCTTTTTCTTTTTGCTGCCTACTGGGCCAGCTTCCGCACATGGAGTGTAGGGCCCCCTTACCTCTGTTTTCCCCGTGGTTAGGTTATTAGGATCCTCTGAGAAGTATGAGGTACAGGTTCAAACCCCCAGTGTCCTAAAAGACAAGAAGCTCTTCTCCCCTGCCCCCCACCTAGTTAAGCAGATACGAGACTTCCTAAGGGAATTAGAATCCAAAATCTGTGCAAGTGGCCTGACACGTTACTTGCATGTTAGTTATCTGCCTAAATATTATTTACCTGTCTAAAGATGGAGTTGGATTTGGGTCCACTTTCTTACAGAAACTGAGGTATCTTTTCAATATTGTCTGATGTGTAGATGAAATGAAATTTGAGGAAAAATAAGGATTTAACTGAGTAGGTTAGGACAATGATTGAAACTTCAGTTTAAATACTTACAGGTAGTGAGTGCAGAGATCATTGAAAATTAGAATAAATGGATAGGGAAAATATTGGGGAAAGAATTCCTGTACTGACAGCCTTAATTCTTTTATCTATTCTAAAAGAAAGATGCCTGAGATTAGAATAATAGGTAATGAAAAGAGGCCATGTTTTCAGTAAATGTTTCCAAGCTTCTGCTGTTAAAACCATTTTGTCAACAAATTGAATTTCTCAGTGATGTGGACCAGCTAATTATTTCACACAATAATGGAGATTTTCAGTTTTGAAGCTAAGTGACAGTTTTTACGAACAAAAAGATTGTCATGTCAGATCAGTGTTCCATGTTTCATAGCATCTTTGATGTTTGTCTGGAAAAGCTGTCTTTGTTCCCATTGTGGAGGTCTGCTTATAAAATGAATTTGTTGCTAACCCCAAGCAGTCTATATCCAACCTGCCTCCCCATCTACTATAGATTGTCTAGTTATTCTTATACATCTCTAATTCTCATTTTTTCCAGTTCTGCTCACCTCTTAGATTTAATTCAGATGGAAGTGAAAGTCACACATTTAATTATGAATTGTATACTCTTAAACACATTTCAATTGCTTGTACATTTAGTTAAATTTTATTGACTGCCAGATTATTTAGAAGAATAATTCAGATGTGAAATTAATTTGTGTAAACCTGAGGAAAAATTTGCATATTCTTCCTGTTTCTTTCCAGAACACTTTTGTTAGAAAGGTATAGTCCGCGTGTAAAACCAGCATAATTTAAGTTTCCAGCATTTATCTGTTGAAAAGCCAGAAGTTTCTCTAGTTATAAATGCTACTAGCTTTGTTCTTTTTTTCTGAAGTAGCAATAAATACTTATTGATAATTATACTTCTACATAAACTATAAGAAGACAAAATAAAATGAACTTTTTCTCCCTTCTCTCCGCTACAGAAGCAACCATGGGGTGCATCAAAAGCAAAGAAGACAAAGGTCCGACAATGAAATATAGAACTGAAAACACTCCAGAACCTGTTAGTTCCCATGTCAGCCATTATGGATCAGATTCCACACAAACAGCACAATCACCGTCAATAAAGGGACCATCAGTTAATTTTAATAGTCATTCTGTGACTCCATTTGGAGGACCATCGGGGATGACGCCCTTTGGAGGAGCATCATCTTCATTTTCAGCTGTGCCAAGTCCATATCCTAGTAGTTTAACAGGTAATTTTTGTTTAAAATAGAAGTTTAACCTGTACATTTGACAACTTTACATATAGAATATTATAATGTTATACCACGTAGGTAGGAAGTGTGAGGTAAAAAATAAATATTTTTTTCTGAAGGCTTCTACTTTTTCTGATCAGTAATTCAGCTCTTGCCTACTAGTGCATGTTACTCCAAAGCAGCTGTCAGCAGCCTTTTTAGGCTGTAGGCTGGAGTGATTCAGCTTGAGTTGGGGGGGAGTGGGCAGACAGCTGCTAGGACCCAGCCGTTGCCACTTCTGCTTCTTCCTGTAGCAGTACAGGGAAAGCAGCTAATGCCAAAAAACCTGCCACCAAATGCTACCAAAGTCCCATGCCCATAGGATGGATTAAATAGTTCTGCAGGCCATGTTATGCCTATGAATCATAGGTTGCCAAGTCCTGTTCTAAAGATGCCTGCAAAGAGAGCTATAATAGACGTGAGATGGTTTAATCCATCACCATCCTCTTCTCTTGCATCACCATCCTCTGATGGAGGTGAACTAATTGAAGTTGAATCCAGACAGGATAGCAGTGATGGTGGTTAGCAGACCTCATGACTTGAAGGGTGATAAGGACTCCCCTTGTCACTCAGCTTTGCAGTTTTGGGATGCTCCTTGATCCTTTGCTGTATCTGATTTCTCAGTTTGTGATCATGGCTAGGGCAGGGGTGGCAAAATAAGGCCTGTGGTACTCCACATGGGGCCAAGCCTTGCCCCTTCCCACTCAGGGCAGCCCGCCCCATGTCTGCCAGAGATATTGCCCTGGCCCTTGCTAATGTGCACAGCTTCCTGGCGGGGCTGCTCCCACTACTGCTGAAGCCACCCGAGTACTGCTCAGCTTCCCCTGCCTCCAGTGACTCATCCCCCTGCTGCACTGCTCAGGGAGCTCTTGACCCAGCATGTGAGGCTCCAGCTCCATATCCCAATCACCTTTCACCCACTCAGCTTCTGGGGCAGGAGCCACCTGGCTGCAGATTTTCCCCCTCCCACCTGGCTGGGCATGTGGTGTCCAGCGTAAGTCCCCCCCCCAGCTTCCACCACTTCTTCGCATTACCTGCTGCCTGGACATCACAGCAGGGGCAAGAGGAGGATGAGACACTGGAGGCGGGGGAAGCTGAGCAGTACCCAGGCAGCTGCAGCAGCAGTGGGAACAGCCCTGCCACAAAGCTGTGTGCTGGCTGGAGCTGGGGTGGTGCCATTGGTGGGTGTGAGCATGAGCATGGTACAGGCTGCCCCAGGCAGGGCTTGGCCCCATGTGGCGTGCCAAGGGAGCAACCATGGGCTGGATGGGGAGGGGAGCAGCCAGCATCTGCACTGCACCACCAGGCAAGTTCTGTTGCATATGCCCCCTACCCCTCTCCACCTGCCACCCCCAACCTAGTTTTCAGCAAGTAAGATATTTGCTGAAGAATATCAAATGAAGTTCTCTTGGCAGTCAAATCTCTAGCAGTATGTTCAGCCCTCAAGGCTTTGCTCCTCTCATCGAGTGATACAGTTCATAAGTGACACCACCACAGCCATTTACAGAGTGCACAGAGTTAGTCATTTACCTTTCTGTGGCTATGGTGCCTAAAACGTTGGATCCCATCCCATAGCCCTCTAGCTAGCAAGGAAAAAGAATGTTATAGGCAGATGTGTCAAGCAGAATTTCTGAGCTGGTATCTGCTTTCCACTTCAATCAGTATAACCCCCTCCCAGTTCTTTCCAGTTCCCTTTGCAAACAAATTCACAGACACTCTTTTAGATGATAAAGGAGAGAACAAGCAGTTTCTTCAGAGTTTTAAGGGAAAAGACTTCAGTGATAGAGTTGGTCAGAAAAAAAATTGTCAGAGCAGCTTTCTATCACAAAACTTTGTTTTGATTAAGCAGTTTTTTGGAGGAAATCATATTAATTTAATTTTGAACACATCAAAACATGTTTTTGTTTGCTCTTGATAAAATTGCTATATATATCCAAAAATCAATTTTCTGATCAGCTCCAATCAGAAAGAAACCAGGATTTAGATAGAAGAGGCTGTATACAGAGTCATGTAATTTGAGAATTCTCCCAGGTTTGTTCATTTGGTAGAAAATCTTACCAGAGCTGAGTGTACAGACATTCAAAATCTGAGGTCCTGAAGAGCACAGAGCTTGCAGTGCTGACACTGCAGCCAGGCGGGGGTCCTGTGCACACAACTCGGTGTGCTCTGCTAGCTTCCATGGTCTATTTGGTGACAAATAGCAGCAAGGCATAGGGCAGCCCAGATTGGCTGACACAGACTGCCCATGGTCAGCTTATGTTTCCCTGCAGCACAGTGAAGGGAGTATGTTCTGCTCTCTGCTGGAGCACTGGAGTCCAATGAGTAATGCATTGTCTCTGTCAAGGAAGGGGATGCTGGAGAACTGTGCTGTCTTCTGAGAGAAGCCATAGCATGTTAAGATATTTTCTTTCCCAGGAGAAATTCTCCTGGGAGTGATTTAAACTTGATTGTTCTTAGGTTATTTTTTCTCCTAGCCATTTTTACTTTGGGGGAAAAAGCCAGAATATTCAGGGTTTCTCCTGGGAAAGCATCATCCCTCTCAGGAGAAACTGAATGTCTGTACAAAGCCAGACAACAGCATGTTCCAGGTACAAGTGTCCCCAGCGTCCTAGCACCTGCTGTGTTCAGTTTATTCTCCTGCCGCAGAGAAGGTATCCCCAGGGTCCTAGCATCTGCCTTTGTCTGGTCTCCTTCCAGCATCTGCACCTCTCCAAGGAGTGTGGGCCTGCACCTGCAGCAGAGGCTAAGTTATAAGCACTGACTTGCAGTGGCAAAAAGGTTGCCAACCCCTGCACCACTAGGTCGTAAATCAGTCTCAGATTACCTTATACGTGTGATTTATCAATCTCATTGGACTCAAGCGACTCCTCAGAAAATGTCAGTTTTGAGCTTTTCCTTTTTGTTTTTGTTTTTTTGACTACAGGAAAATAATAGAACAGTTTTTCTGTTACAAAGACACCCAGGTCAGAATGCTTTTGACACTATGGATTCCACATTTAGCATGGTTAGGTGTGCAATATTGAGCAGCACCCTACATTGCCCTTAAAAGGATGTTATGGCACTCCAGTTTTTGTGGCATCCTGGTTAAGAATCACTGTTTTAGACAAATACCTATTGAAGAGATAAGTCAAGTAACAGCTGAGTTCTTCGCCAAGGTGTGTGATAGTTTGGGCTTAACTGTTGTACTTCACTGCATAATTTAGGACAGAGGTGTCAAATATACAGCCTGTGGGTCAGATCCAGCCTTCAAAGCCCCATAATCCCATCCCCAGTGCTTTCCCATTAACTCGAATTCAGTGCCTGGGAGGTGCATGGTACCTGCTGGGGCTGGCATTCTGGACCGGGCTGGCAGATGCTGCATACGCTGGTTCAGGCATATGCAGGGTGGGGGGAAATCTGTTAGCCTATGGACTGGCCCTGTGCTGTTCATGTGGCCTGCGGGGCCAGATGAGTTTGCTACTTCTGGTTTAAGAAATTGTTTTACAGCCTGTATTTTGTTAAAGAATTTGTTGTCCGTGTTCTATCTGAAGATACCATTCGCTGTTTTTTGGGAATATGTGAGAGTTCCTGAACAGAAAGAGAGGTTATTTTTGTTCTTTGAGAGCTCCTTTCTGAATTCTTTATGATGGAAAGAAGGATTTTTAAATCCTTTCAAATCAACTATAAATTTAAATAGCGTGGCTTCTTTCTACTAGTGCTGACTTCATATGGTCTTGAGAAGAATTGAAGAACAAGTCTTCAATTAAGTCAGCTGAAGATTGCCTAGCAACTTTGATCTCTCACCAAAGTATCCCAATAATTGAATGACAACATTGGAGAAATTTGAGATGGAGAAGACCTATTGAATTACACAGTCCCTCTTTATGTATTTTATACTGTTTAAACTACCTTAGATTTAAATGTGCTAGGTAGTGGGCCTTCCAATCTCCCCACACTGTTCCCTTGAAACTATTCTACAGCCTAGTAGATCCCAGCAAATCCCTCTTTAATCTGTATTTTTCTGTTTTTAACTTCATCCAGTTTAATAAATATATTCCTTTATTCCTACTGAGTGCTTATATTTTTCAACTATTTGAAGCCTGTTAACACATCCTTCCTGTATCATTGTTTAGCTAAGCTATATGTGCTAACTCTGAGGGCCAAATATTACCATTGTACTAGAGCTGCCCTGCCCTTGTACCTCACTCGAGGAATACACCCAGTAATGGTCTCTGGCCTGGGGCAACTAGCCAGAAGGGCTTGGGGAAGCAAATGACAAAAGGATTGGCACAGTATGCACACTTGTCCAGTGAAGAATCTCAGCGCTGACCCTAGAATGATGCAGCTGTGCATCTTCTTAAAATACAAGTTCCTTTCCTTGTATGTTATGGTTAGCAGATTGAGCGGAATTAGGATTAATCCTTCCCCTCTTTTCTTTTTAAGATAAAAGAAAATATATTGCATAGATCTTGATATCTGGTTCCAAAAAGTAGAGAACTAACTTGTGGGAATGCTTTGCAAAAAAACTGGTATATAAACTTCAAATCTGTGGTTGCAAGTTTAAACAATGTGACTGTTTTCTTCTATGAAGTTTTTAAAAATAATACCTTTAAATACATTTAAAGAAACAAACAGTTTGCATATGCCAAGAATGGTCAGATACAGGGCCTCTGTCCTGTGCCTGCTCAGACCAATGTTAATTCTTTACTGAACTGTTATGCTGAAATTGTAGAGTTTGGGATAGAGGTTGTTGATATCCCACTTTATTTGGGGACTCTTTGACAGCTACTTCTTGCTTAACGTCGTTAAGCAAGGTTCTTGAAAAATGTGACTTTAAGTGAAACAATGATAAGCAAATCCAGTTTCCCTATAAGAATTAATGTAAAGCTGGGGGGGGTGGTTAGGTTTTAGGAAATTTTTTTTTGCCAGACAAAAGACATTATATACCCAGGTCTGCAGCTCCTCGCCCCTGCTCCCCTGTGTTGCGGCCTCAGGTGGAGTGGCTCCCTGCTGCCATACACAATCCTGGAGGGATCCTCGCCCCCCAGATCTGTACATGGGGCAGGCGCAGGCTGCAGGTGTGGGCTCCCACTCTGCTTCCCTGCCCCAGGACCTCCTCAGCCCTGCAGGTGTGACCCAGCATGGCTGGGGACAGCAGAGCCACACAGGGATCTCCTTGCCACTGTGAGCTGCCCTGGTGATGCATCCCCTGCACCTGCCGCTGCTTTGAGGTTGCAGTGAAGGCAGTGGTGTGGGCTGCACCCCTCAAAGCAGCAGCAGGTGCAAGGGGCGCGTCTCCAGGGCATCAGCAAGGAGATCCCTTCACAGCCCCGCTGTCCCCAGGTGTGCCGAGTCATGCCTGCCTGGGGCAGGGAAGCAGGGTGGGAGGTTGCGCCTGCAGCCTGCCCCGTACACAGATCTAGGGGCATGGGTCCTCCCCCTCCCCCAGACAAGCCACTTGTGGCCCCGTCCTGCTCCCCACTGGGGCCCTGCAGCTGTGCATTGCAGCCCCAGGTCCCAAGCCCCACCTGGCTGGGCAGCAGCCCCAGCCCTGCCCAGCTCCCTCCCTACAGGGGCCTCAATCCCCATTTTCCACCCCCCCCCTCCCACTTACCTGCTGGAGCTGCTCATGTGGCACCCTGTCTCTCTGCCTGCCTTCCAGCTCCCTGCAGTGTTATAACTAAACATTGCACAACTTTAACCGAGTATGTGTTCTAATAGACCAGCGATGTAATAAGAAAACAACATTAACCGGGACAACGTTAAATGAGGAGTACCTGTATATATAATTCCATCTCAGTGAAAACAAGTTAGCCAATTATTGAGTCACCTTTTGCAACTAGACGGGATCTAAATTGTAAAGAATCTTAGTTTGCTGTCAAAGCAAAATTGATTAACTGCTGTTGTGGACTGCTTTTTTAAAACTAATATTACCAGTATTATTATGTGCTGGTAGCACTAATGGTACTATTGCTACATACTGTGCCTTTTTTTTCATAAGGTGGCGTAACTGTTTTTGTGGCCTTATATGATTATGAAGCTAGAACTACAGATGACCTTTCATTTAAGAAGGGTGAACGGTTCCAGATAATAAACAATACGTAAGTATACTTTGCCAGAGGCTTAATGTAATGTGGGAAATAAATGCTTTCACACAAGTTTCAAATGTTTTCTTTTCAAAACAGCCCTACTTCTTTTGTTCAGTTTTTGTTTATAATGAAAAACCTTACTTTTTTAATAAGGCCTTGTCCTTTCAACTTTGGGCTGTTCTCAATCCTCTGTTTTTCTGAACTACAAGGTATAGCTGTTCTCTGTTGATCACTTTCTTTTTTTCATTCTTGGTAAGTTTTTTGTGCTTAAAAACCTGAAATATCTGTTTGGAGCATTTATCCACTTATTGCTATTGCTTCATCCAGGCTTGAGTCCAGAGGAGCTCATTTTGAATCAGTTTGTGATCACTTATTCTTTCTGACCAGCCCCTCTGTAATTGTCCTCATTGCTTGTCAAAACCCAATGTAAAATAGTGTCACCCATACCCCCAGACTACAAACCATCAGCAGGAAAATTGAACCAAGCTCACTGTTCAAGGGCCCTAGATTCTATTGCAGGCCACACCCCTTCTCCCCCAACTTGTTAGTTTGCTGGTAGCCCAGGAGCTTGGGTAGGAGGCTTTGCAGGCCGGATTTGGCCCACACACTGTATGTTTGACACCCCTGTCTTAGGGTATGGACACACAAGCATTTGGAGCAGTTCCAAAAAGGCAGCAGCTGTTACATGTGGACAGGCTATTGTTAAAATTGGAGCTATTTTGCTGCTTTTATATTGTTCCCAGCTTGCCCACATGTAACAATTGAAATAAAGCCACTAAAGGTGCACCTCTAGCTCTGTGCCATATTGGATTGGCACAAATAAAAAGAAAATTAACTTTATCTGGTACTGTCTTTTTTTGGCCAGTGTAGCAGATAATGTCACCAATAAATATAATTAATTATACCTTCTGGGTGGGGCCTCTGGATGCTGCATGCATGAACACAGCCAGGAATGCGGCCAGGCAGCATGGAGAGCAGTGTCCCTTGGGTAAGTCTTTGGAGGGGAAGGGGGGCATGTGGGGGGAATAGATTGAGGCCCCCATGGTGAAGGAGGAGTGGGGCAGGGGCAGTGGCTGTGGCTGGGGGTGCTGCCCAGCCTGGGCAGTGAATGGGACCTGGGGCTGGGAGCCAGACAGATTGTCCTGGGGACATGGGGGAGGGATGGGAGAGAGAGGGGGTGGGAAGGGTAGCTCCCTGCTGCTGCATGCCACTCCCTGGGGGGTGGCATGGGCCCCCCCAGATTTGTGTGTGGGGTAGATGTGGGCTGCCTGCTGCAGGGTCAGGGCTCCTCGTTCTGCTGCCTTAACCCAGGAGACCCATGCCATCCCATGGCAGCATTGGGGGCAGTGAGTTGTGTCTCATGCTGCTGGGTGGGCAGGGGACGCATGGCTGACATGGAGCTCCTGGGGCAAAAGCAGCAGAGCGGAGAGCCCTGAGCCTGCAGTGGGCAGCCCACATCCACTCTTGCCCTGCTCGGCTCCAGTCCAGTTAAAAGCATCCCTGTGCTTAAAAATGGCATCAGCAGCACTTTGAACTAAAGCTCATTTGATGAGTTTTAGTTCCAGCGCCCCTGCCACCATTTTTAAGCACCAAGATGCTGATCCCCTGGACAAGCTGCCCACAACTCTGTCCCACTCCTCACCCCAGTCCCAGGTCCCATTCACTGCCCTGGCAGGGCAGCGCCCCCAGCCCCACTCTCTCCCTCACTGGTGGGGCGTCAGTCTGCCACCCTGAACCCTTCCTTCCCCCGTGCCTCTTCCCCCTCCACAGACTTGAACCTGCAGGTCACTGCTCTCCATGCTGCCCAGCTGCATTCCTGTAAATCAGTTATTGGATCGGTAGTGGCCGGTATGGCTGGTTAATAATTATCAATCGGTATCAACCAAGAAAATATTTATTGGTGCACCCCTAAAAACAGCTGCTGTCCTTTAAAGTGGCTCCAAACATATACGTCCATACCCTTAATTTTTCAGATTTTTCCCTTCTGAAATGAATTAAACCCCTTAGTTGCTCTTTGCTGTTGCAGTCTTCCACTTAAGCCTGAGTAGAGCAGTGATAGTGAGCCCAGGAGCTTGGGTAGGAGGCTTTGCAGGCCAGATTTGGTTCACATGCTGTATGTTTGATGCCCCTGTCTTAAGGCATGGACACACAAGTGTTTAGTGTAATTAACATTGAATCAATTTGTGATCACTTGATCCAAAGCTGTTTTTTCTGAACAGCTCCTCTGTAATGGTCTGTATTGTTCATCAAAACCCAGTTTAAAATAATATCACCCAGACTACCAAACTGTAAACCAACAGCAGGAAAATTCAGTGTCTTCCAAGGAAGAAGGACTCCTTGCTCCTTCCTCACCAAAAGCAAACCTTAGATCATCTCCCTTTTTAGCTGCTCTTTGTTCACCAGATGAAGTTGGCAGTTAATTTTCTTTAATCTTTTATAATGAAGCAGTCATGTTGTCCAAATTGTCAACAACTTTAGACAATATTTGTCTAAAGTGTATGTGGAAGTGAGAAGACTTTTGAAAATTCTGTCTAAAGCAAATTCTTTTCTGTTTTGTCTGTTATTACTTCTTGTCTATTTATATTTCTTACATAGTTTCTTCCTCTCTTGTATTTGAAGGTATAAATACCTTCCCCTCATACACTTCTTCATTTCATTTCAGTTTTTAAAATAGAAAAGTACACATAGCTTATGTTGAAGTGAAAAGTGTACTTGTATATGCAGCAACACAGTTGGGATGATGTATTCTGAATGTATGTGAAGTAATGTATTGACTAAAATATATGGATGATTCTTGCATCTTTTACAGGGTGTTGTATTGTTTATGTGTGTTAAAGATAATTGCTGTTGCATTTCAGGGAAGGAGACTGGTGGGAAGCAAGATCCATTGCTACGGGAAAGACTGGCTACATCCCCAGCAATTATGTAGCTCCTGCAGACTCCATTCAAGCAGAAGAGTAAGGCATTATTCAAGTCTTTTGTCAGTCTATTTTATTATCGAACAATTAGCAACAATTGGAAGCCCAGGAGACCCTCATACATGCGCTAGAACAGGGGTGGCCGGCTGCGGCATGTGTGCCACAGATGGCACAGACAGCCTCTGTGTGTGGCACATGGGAAACCAGGGATAGGACAGGCAACACAGTGGCAGATAGGGCAGGGAGCAGAAAGAGAAGGAGTTCAGGCAGGGAGCACAGAACAGGAAGTAGAAAGCGGAGCAGCAGATCAGGTAAGGGAAACGGATTGGAGTGACGCCAGTGGTGCAGACCTAATTTGTGCTACAGCTGCTAAAAAGGCTTCCCCTCATTGCGCCTAGAATTAGAGTGAAGCAGAGCTCCACAGCCAGCTTTATGGAGGGGATAGGATGACAAAGGAGGGAATTCTGGCTCTCCAGTTAGAGTGCACAATGTGAATTGTGTTGGCAATTCCTGCATTGCAGTGCAGAGTGGATTATGTTTGGTTATTCCATGCCTCTAGACTTTATTGGTGGCCACATTGGCTGGGGAAGGATTTTTACCTTCCTGTTGCTACAGGTGTCAGGTATTTTGTTATTGTCTTCAGAAGCAGTGGGTTCTGGTGCTGCCAAAGCTGGAGATTTTGATTGAGGTATGAGGATGCTTTTGGTGGGACTTAAATAAATAAATAGCTCATAGTCAGACCGCTCAGGAAGGACTTTTCCCCTGTGATCAGATGGGCATAGATTGTGGGGGGTTCTGCCTTCCCCTGTAGTGGAGGTCTATGGTCCTCTTCCTTGAATTTTTTTTTATGTTAACAGACTGGTTCCTGTCCTGGTAGTATCAGGACATTGATAATGCCTCCATCTCCCTGTTTTCCATGGCAAGTTAGGGTATTCTTGATGTTTTCAGGCAGTGTGCCTAGTAATTATGGATAAGGATACCTCATGCAGTTTTAAGAACAGGCTAAATCAGGGCTGTCCCACTCATCTTGCTCCCTAGACTGGATCCAGACCACAGGTTTCTTTACAGGCTGGATTCAGGACACATGATGGCAGCGACTCTGGCATGGGGCACATGACACAGCTCCTGTTGCATGCCCTGTGGTGTGCTGGAGCCAAAGATGCTGCTGCTACTGCTGCATACCTAGTGTCACTGTGGCAGCTCTAGCTCTGGCATGGGATATGCAGTAGCCAGGCCAGCAACTGAGGAGGTGTGGCAGTGGTAAGAGATGAAGCAGCTACAGGGCAGCTGGGCTGTATTACCTGTTGCTCACCCTTCAGTCCCCCCAGATTGCCATATCTACCAGGGCCCAAGGGCCTAGGATTCTGCCACAGCTTGCTATGCCCCCCAGTTTCCTGTGGCCCACCAGTAGCTCAGCAGGCTGTACACAACAGCACTGCGGGCTATATGTTTGATACCTCTGGGCTAAGATAAACACATCTGTAGGATGGGTCGGTAAGGATGATCTTCCCTTAAGCAGGACAGGAGGTTGGACTAGATGGCCTCCTGAGATCACTTCCAGCCCTCCTTTTCTATAATTCTTCAGTTTAATGCAAGGAAGCACCAATAAAAGAACTGCACTATGTAATCCTCTCCTCTCATTTAGACAACCTCCCACTTACCCGTGCCCTCCAACCCCATTTGGAAAAAAAGTTAAAACAATGTTTTAGAACAGCGGTGCTCAACCCTTTTGCCTAATAGGCTGGATTGGCAATGTCCAGTCTGTCCATTGGCTGGGTCTGGCTGATGGTTCTGACCCAGTGCCCAGGGCAGGCATGATGGGGTCCCATCGAGCTCCACAGGGGGAAGGAGGTTTGATGTGGCCCCAGCTCTAAGGGGAAAGGGTGCATGACCTGACCCCAACCCAACCACATGGAGGAGAGGGGCCTAGTCCTAGCTGTAATTTACCACATAGTTTGGGAATTTGGCAGTGGGGGCGGGTGGTCATATTAATTGCCACCACTCCCCCACGGCCAAACTTACCAATGTATGGGGAGTCCCATGAGCCATATGCTCTGGCTCCACAAGCCACATTTGGCCCACAAGTTGGAAGTTGAGCACCCCTGTTTTAAAGACATTTCTGGCACTGGTGTTCATATTCCTCCATCTATAAAGCTAACCTCTCTTAATGCCAGGACTGTAAGCCCAAGCTCCACATTAAAATGTTAGACATAAAAATTGATCTAAGAGGGTTATTTTATTTATTTTATGACTTTGAGGTACAACATCTTAACTAGAAACAGCTAGGACCAGTAAGAAGTATTTGTTCCTACAGCTGGTTTGCAGATAGTGAATGGTTTGTAGGTAGTAGATTTTCAGTCCTTAGCTGGCAATATTAATTCTGCTTCTACTATTGGAATTTTTTTCTGGAAGAGGATAGTGGGGAGAGAAATTGTTTTTGTGGCTGAATTTTGTGTAGGGGAAATCACAATATTTTGAAAACTGTGCAGAGATTTGGAATGTAAGGGAACCTTGTCAGTGTATCAATGCAGGAGGAAATTGTGGTGAGTTAAGTGGATGAGGACTTGCTATCCATCAGCTGCTCCATGAAACTGCCTGAATCTAAACTGTGGTAGCTTAGCTGTGAGTGAAAGTAAGTTGCTGCAGTTTAGTTTTCAGTTGCTGTAGGTAGGAGGAAGGTGCACCAATAGAGCAGCTCATGTGCAGGATGCCCCTGTGCCCTCTTAACTCACTGATTTGCTTGTCCTTATTCTTAAAAATAATATGGACAGAAATGGGCAAGTTGGTAGAGGAAGGAAAAAGTGTTTAACACCAGAATAGTTTTTACATCTGCATGTAAGTGAATGTGCTTGCTCATTCACACGTGTCTTAAATTATTCCACCTGTTCAGTTATCTGAAGTGCTAGAGGAGAGGGTAAGGCATCTGAGCCATTGCAGTGTTTTACTGTTTCAAGTGCATCTGATCCAGCCAGTGCTGTTGAACTTCTAACCCTAAGAAAAGTTGGGACAGGGGAAAGAAGGGAGGTGTTGCTGTGTTTGTTATTATATTCTGTTAGTATGTCCTGGAACCGACTGTTTGCAGATAGAGGTCTCTCTTTCTATATTAGAAATTACATTAAGTGTCCCTTTCAAATAATAGTAAGGTCAATATTCATTTGCAGTGAATGAAAATGTGTTCAGCTGTGTTTGCTGCAAAAAATAGTCAGTTATTTTAATCCCTTCTGTTTCATAGCAGTAGTCCAGACAATGTTGATAGCGTTAAATTTGTGCGCTATATTTACATGAATACTAGAGCTGAGCCTTGCTCTTTCTGACCTTGACCAGAAACAGTATGTATGAAAGCCATGAACTATAAATTTTCATGTGTGTAATTCTAGTAAAGCAGCATTGTATCTACATCTTGAGATCTTTCTGACTATTTAGTTGTAAGTGCTTTTAAAAGCCCCTTAGGATTTTTAGGTAACATTTTTAAAGACAAAATGTATGTACTATTTAAAGCAGCCTATTGAAGCAGTATTTTTAGTATGTTACTGACCTCAACAGATATTTCGTTTAATTTCTAGATGGTATTTTGGTAAGATGGGGAGGAAAGATGCAGAGAGATTATTGTTAAATCCTGGGAACCAGCGTGGCATTTTCTTAGTACGAGAGAGTGAAACCACTAAAGGTATTTTTCTTTAAGTTGACTTTTATTCTAAGGCAAATATTAATTGTTATTTTTATTGTGTGCGCGCGCACATGCATGTAATTTTTGGCATACAAAAGTGTGCATACACAAATATGTACTTGTATATATTTGGAGAGATACTGAATTTAAACTCTTCGTTAGGTGCTTATTCCCTCTCTATACGTGATTGGGATGAGGTCAGGGGCGATAATGTGAAACACTACAAAATCAGAAAACTTGACAATGGTGGATACTACATCACAACTAGAGCACAATTTGAGTCTTTACAGAAGTTGGTAAAACACTACAGAGGTAAGTCTGAATCCCGGGCTTCAATACTAGTCTAATGGCTACTAAAGGGGGGAAAAAAATCAGCAAGTGGTAATTATGACCTGAGATGCTTTTTATAAGCATACTGTTTTATTCTTTTTAATAAAAAAATATAATAGTGATGTCCAGGGCTGTGCCATAAAAGAAACTGAATGATTATTTTTTTATTAGCTTTTTATTTGGCTTCGTTATAGTTCTGTGCATCTTTAACTTCAGTAGTTTCCTTTTCTCATTTTCCAGAACATGCTGATGGACTATGTCATAAACTAACAACTGTGTGTCCAACTGTGAAACCACAAACCCAGGGACTAGCAAAAGATGCGTGGGAAATTCCTAGAGAATCTTTACGGTTAGAAGTTAAGTTGGGCCAAGGATGTTTTGGTGAAGTGTGGATGGGTAAGAGTAAACACCTCTGTTGCACACCTCTGATGTTGTAAAAATTCCTTTTAATTATATTTTAGATAGATAAATATCAAAGTCTGAAAAGATAATTTGGTAAAGAACTGAAGGCTAAATTGCCAATTACAGCAATATTATTTTTCAAGCATACTGCTTTTAGTGCAAAATCTCTCATAATTTTTAGATGTGAATTCACACCCTGAAAGAAAAGATTTAGTCTGTAACTATAATTCCTGGATGAGGAGATAAGAACTAGTACAACTGCCTTCAAGAAAAATTCACAGGAAGGTATGGCAGCCAGAAATTTGTTTTGAGGAAAAGGGGCAATAACAAGTTAAAGTGGAAACAGATGCATTAAAAAAAGGGGCAAGTAAATATAGCATTCAAAGGACTAATGAAGATACTGTAAAATGTAAGTTAGAAATGTGTTAATATTTATCTTGGAGATTCAGGTCACAATGCAAACCACTTGAATTTTGCTTTTGTAACTTGTTCTCAAACGCCCCTTAAGTACATTATGCCTTTGGTATATTTATTCCATAATGTATATACTATATACAGTTCAATTCAGAGTTAATTATCAATACAGTTCCTTCATCTATATAAAATAATAAAACTGAAGCAAAAAGGAAGCAGCTTCAATTGAAAATGTGTTAAGTACAGTCCAGGTAATATATTATACTTGTCTCCCTAGGAACGTGGAATGGAACCACAAAAGTAGCAATCAAAACACTAAAACCTGGTACAATGATGCCAGAAGCTTTCTTGCAGGAGGCTCAGATCATGAAGAAATTGCGACATGATAAACTTGTTCCATTATATGCTGTTGTTTCTGAGGAACCAATCTACATAGTTACTGAATTCATGACGAAAGGTATGTGAGCAGTTAACTGGAAAGCAGCAGATTTTAGAAGTTTATTAAAAGTCTCAGTAACAAGATGAAAATTGTATTGTTTTAAACTAAAATTGAATATTGATTTGCTTAAACCCAGTGTAACATGAATCATAACTGACCCTTAAGATCTAATGGATTAGAAAGTAATCATCTTTGCTGAGAATTTTTCCTTTGTTGCAAGTTTATACCTGTGAAATGCTATTTATATATACAAATATAGAAGAGCCATGCGCATGATCAGAGGTCAGGAAAACAGACCTTATGATGACAGGCTGAGAGCCATGGTGCTCTTTAGCCTGGAAAACTGCAGGCTTTGGGGTGATCTGATAGCCACCTATAAGTTTATCGGGGTGACCACCAGTATCTGGGGGAACGTTTGTTCACCAGAGCGCCCCAAGGGATGATGAGGTCGAACGGTCATAAACTACTGCAAGACCGTTTCA